ACGTCTATCTAAGACCGTGATATTTCAGAAGAAAGAAGGAAAACAAATTTTCTCAAAAAGACACTAACTTTTCAAACTGCCCTCATATTTACAGAAAACCATTTTCATGCCATTTATTTTATTGAAAGCTAATTTTAATTCCACAAATTGTTCACATTAATGCATAATGGCTTATAGTCAGATTGGCGGAAAATAAGCATAGTTGCTATGGGGAAATAATAACGTAAAACTCCGACACGATATCAAATAATTTCATTTGGTTAATGTCATACAAGAACAAGTAAGAGCAGCGCTGTCTTCGGCTATGCCGAAGACTTCATACCTTTCATGAACATCTGAAAATTTTACTTTAACAGATTACTGCATTTGAAAAAAATTTATATATTCGCAGCATACATGGATAGGGGAGACACATATATAAAAAATCATATCCAAACAATCAGAGGTATGGAAGATATACCTTATATAGCACCAATCTAAGTGATAAGTAAATAGGTTATAGTGACCCGATCTTTGTTAATTTTACTGTAAACTTTCTGTTGATAATGAGTGAAAATAGTGCGAAATTTCATGTTTCTAGCTGCATATATGGAGAAGTTATAACAAAGAATCTCATATTTGAACAATCAGTTGTATGGGAGATACATATATGTTATAGTGACCCGATCTTTGTTATTTTCACTGTAAGTATACTGTTAATAATGAGTGAAAACCGTGCGAATTTTCAGGTTCCTAACTGTATAAATAGAGATGATATGGCAAAAAATCTCATATCTGAACAATCAGTTGTATGGAGGCTATAGGTTATAGCGACCCGATCTTCGCCATTTTCACTGCAAGTATTTGTTTGAAAATGAGCGGCAACAGTGCAAAATTTCATGTTCCTAGCTACTTAAATGGAGGAGTTATAACGAAAAATCGTATATCTGAACTATCGGTTGTATGATAGCTATATGTTATAGTGGTCCGATTCTTTCGGTTCCGACAAATGATTAATACATTATAAAAATACACCCGCCTACCAAATTTCATCCGGATATCTCGAAAACTGAGAGACTAGATTGCATACAAACAGACGGACAGACAGACAGACAGACAGACAGACAGACAGACAGACAGACGGACAGACGGACATGGCTAAATCGACTCAGCTCGACGTTCTGAGCATTTAAGTATACATTTTAATGGGTCTATCTCTTCTTATTCTGGTACTTACAAACATCGGACCAAAGTTATAATACCATTTCATGCCCATGAAAGGTATAAAAATGTGTTACCAGCGTATTTATGTATGTATGTATGTATGTATTTGTAAACGGCTAACTAAATCACCAACAAATTATTTAGTCCTGCCGCTCCAGCAATGTTGCTCCCGACCAGTGTTGCCGCGAAACATTTTTAGCGGTAGCTAAATTCAGGCTAAAAAAGGGCTAAAAAAGAGCTAAAAGTCGTCGTTGTGGCTAAAAATGGTAGCTAAATTTTTTTACCTACATATAAATATATAAGTATACACGCAAACATTTTCTATAAGTAATGATATAGAAAAACAATGAACTCTGGAAAGAATTAATATTTTATTCAACAAATAAACTTGTTGTGTAACACATAAAGCATATTAAGGGCCGCCAACTTACCTATTTTAAAGTATAGTTAAATCGTTAATGGATAAGATAACGGCCCAGAAACGTAAAAAACATACATATACATATGTATGTACAGTTTAAAAATTAATTTCTTACATAAACAAAAAAATTAGATCACATTAAGAATACATAAGTACTAGAATCATATCTAAATACAGTGTCGGACAATACTAAATAACTTAAATAATTTCAAACTATGCTTCGAAAAATATCCATTTGTAAAAGAAATTTTTAAAATGTTATGTTATAATTTACAAAGAATTAAAATGTCGGTGCTTTATTATTGTCCGACGCTGTATGTATCAAACAAACAAAAGAGTATTCATTTAATGAACTCATAGTAAAATAATTTAATCTATAAACATTTTTTTTAACACATTAAATATTTATATCTATATCAATACTATCATCGCTAAGCGATTCTTCGTCGTTACAATTTTGTTCATTTCTCATTAACCTGACGATATCATCTGTAAAATCAATATCATGACAACATTCCTGTACATTTTTTAAGCCATATCTTACAGTTAATAAAGCGTTTAACATTGCAAAATTCATTTTATTTCTGTGCTTATTTTTAACGAAATTTATTATAGAAAACGTCCTTTCAACTTCTGCGTTACTTAAAGGTAAAAGAAGCAACCGATAAACAAACTTTTTCCACCACTTAAGCTAGCGACACAATGAACAGTTTATTTGCCTTAAAGGAAAGGCGTTCGCTTTATGAGCGAAGAGTTAAATTCATGAAAATCATATAAAAAAATTCAATGTCAATGATGAATAAATTTTGAAAAGGGCTAAAAAAAGGGCTAGGGGCAATTTCAAATTTTTGTGGACAAAAAAAGAATTTGGTAGCCAAATTTAGCCACCAAAGGGCTAAAACGGCAACACTGCTCCCGACGTCTTTAATATTAATTTTCTTGTCTCGTAGTTTTGACTTCATTCGGTAAAAATCTTCCATACAGCCGTTCTCCATAAACATTTACTTACACTGTCACTGTCGTACATACAGCCTTAGTAGCTGTGTCATATTTACAGCCTCGCTTAAAATCATGCGCATGATTCAATAAAAAAAAGTTCGCTCAAAAAGCAGTTTTCTCGCTCCCTCTTGACAAAATCCCTTAGCAAATCCAACAAGCAAAATAAACTTAAAGAAAGTTTTTTTTTAAGTTTTCAATTATAAACATTAAGCTTACAAAACGTTGATTTTTTGTTTATAAAACGCTTGAAAGTAAGCGTAATATAATCGAAAAGGAACATTGGTTATAAGCGTAGAAATATAAACTTGTAATAAATGTTCAAAAGAAAGCTTTTTATAAGCGTAAAAGTGTAAACTTATAATAAAGGTTCAAAAAAAGTTTTATATAAGCGTATCAATATAAACTTACTAAAAATTTTCAAAAGAAAGCTTTTTATAAACATTTTTATAACCCTTTATTTAACGATATTTCATTAAAACCTCATACATAGATTGCTTAACATCTAGAAACTAAACGAAATGCGAATTTTCCGCGGACTCATCTACAGTCGCGAAAATATAAATAGGGAATAGACATTTTAGCATACAAATTCACAATAACACATACAAATTAAGCATAAAAAAGTTAATTATTACATCTTGTTGCGTGCTTTCAATTACTTGCGGTTATTGGCAAATTGGAAAAGGGACATCGATGCAGCTATATATTGCGCTTTATCGCCGCCATTCTCATTGATGAACTTTTCTGAAAAAAATTTAATACATTTTTAGTTGAATGTTAAACTAAGAAAGGATAAGGGGAACTCATCATTTGAAGACTCGAATGCTCCACCGATTAGCGCAGCGGGTCCTGGATTGGATTTTCTTGTTTTACCGCATTGGTTTTATTTAATTTTTTCTTTTAATAATATATTTTAAAAAACGTAAACACGTCACTTACGATTGAAAAAAATTTATATTTACTACTTCTTGTCGTTGGCATTTACATTTCATTTATAAGTTTAAGTTATTTATAAACATTCGCTCTCAAAACTTATTAAAGGTTTGTTTGAAAAAACTTTTAATAAGCTTAATATTAAAAATGCTTATTTAACGCTTATTATAGCAAACTTAATTTAAGTTATTTTTAAAAACGTTTACTGAAATGCTTGTTGGGAAGCATTGTGTGTGGGTTCGTGTGTGTGTGCAAAGCTTTTGTACCCTGCAAGACAGCTAACAGCTAGAATTGTGGTTAACCGGTAGTTATCGTTCATTTGTGAAGCGGTATATAAACTGGCTAACTTTGTTCTAGCCGTGTGCAAATATTAACCACTTTTTCATATTCGTGTGATACGTTATCTCCCTTACACTAATAGAACTGTTCGATTTCAACGAACTATAGCTGCACTACTCTAATTCCCCTTTCATAGCGACCGAAGTGGTTAATGTTGTGGTGAACACTTAGTTAATGATAGCTGCTGAAGTAGCTAATGTAATGGTTACCATGTAGTTAATGATAGTTGCTGAAGTGGCTAATGTTGTGGTGAACATGTAACTAACGATGGTTGCTGAAGTGGCTAATGTTGTGGTTAACATGTAGCTAAAGATAGCTGCTGAAGTAGCTAATATTATGGTTACCATGTAGTTAACGATACCTACTGAAGTAGTTAGTGCTATGGTGTTTATAACCACAATTTTTTTAAGTAAATTGTACAAAAAGTAATTTTTTCATTATTCATTTATTTATTTCAATAACATATTTAAAAACATAAATATGACCGCTTTCATAATGACAAAATAATGTAGTATTAAAATTTATTAAATAATAAAATATTAATTTAAATAATCAGATCAGTGAGTAATTCAATTAATTATTGTTATTTCTGCTGTTAAAATGTTTAAAACTATGTATTTACATTTACTAATTACTAAGCGTTTATAAATAGGTAGGTAGGTAGGTTTTTTGTTGTTAAAATTCCAGTATGCAAATTTTAATATAAAATTATTAAAAAAACTATTGTTAAAATTTACTTTTTACACTATTTACAATTATTTACAAATTAATAAAGGTAGTCGGGATGTTTTGTATATGCCCTTGCATGTGTATTTGTGGTTTTTGGTAGAAAAAGTAGTGAAATTTCTTACAGCAATACAATATAAAAGTTTACTTCATTACCTACCAAAAACCACAAATACAGAATTCAAGAGCATATCAACTGCTAAGTGGAAGATCGACCTATCTCGGCAGCCAGCTCGAAAACATCCTATCTCAAAAAACTTTTCAATTCGTTTTTTAGAATTCGTTTCAAAAACGTCCTATCTCAGCACATTTTCAATACATTTTGAAGTGAGATAGGGCCTTTTTGAACCGAACTCGGAAGCGTTTTTTAATAAAATTCTGAAATAGGGCGTTCTTGAAAAGTTTTTTGAGATAGGGCATTTTCGAACTGGCTGCCGAGGTCGATCTTCCACTCCGCAGTCGATATACAAAAAATCCCGAATAGCCGTATTTAAATAACGTTTTTGAAATTTAGATTGGAAAGTTATTAAATTTTTATGTTACTTTTTTTTAGAGATTAATAATAAGGTAATTAAATTAATTATTGTTAGATTTGTTATTAGGTTTCATTTTTTTTATTACAGTTTGTACCTATTGTGGCTTAGGAACACGTGCTTTCTGATTTCCGCAATGAGGTCAATTTTGGGCATACTCACAAACGCATCTGTTGGAAAAATATAAATGCATTACTTCCTGAAATACATAAGTCAAATAAACAATTAAAACATATTTACCGAAAACTAATTCTATTGTTTTTAGCCCCAGAAGTGGAGCTTTGTTGGCTTTGCCCTCATAATTGTATGAAATGAGTAGAGTGTCGGCAAAAATGCTTCTCAACACGTGTTTCACACAACCCTTAGCACCCTTCAATTTTAAAATTATGTTCACCTGGAAAAGATTATAAAATTTATAAATACTAGATATGTACATAAATGCAATTATAAATATAAATGTAAATAATAAAATATAATATATGACTACATAAACGAAATATAAATTAACACCAATCGAAAGATCTTATTTAAAATAGTAAAACTGCATCTTAAACTAAAAATCGTCAAAATCTTTCACAGACAAGCAAAATATCATATGTTTACACAGCGGTAAGTCACAGCAAAAACTGTTATTTAAAAGAAAATATTTAGTTGTTGAAAACAAATTTTTCAAAAGTTTGTGAACAGCGAAAAAGTAATTATATAATTAGAGCGTTCCAGATCGTCTACGATTTGCAGGATTTACTCCAAAGTTGTTCCCATACGCCACGTTCACATAAGGTTTATCAAAGGCAAAAACAGCTGTTCCTGTAAAACCTGCAAATCCTAGAGTACGGGAACAAGCTAAATATGTATTTTGTTTTTTAATTATAATATAGTTCTCTTTAACGGTAAAATATGTTTTGTTGACATATGCTGTTTTGCGTGTTCTTGAAAGATAGAGTTAAGTGGCTCATAGTACAACAAAAATCATACAAACCATTTCCATAAATTTTCATGCCCATTTCCCGCTTTTTGATACGATTTGTAAAAATATTTCGAGTATGGAATTTTATAGTCCACTGAATTTTATTATAATAAGATTTAAGTTTAAAGTTTCTACAAATTTGCGGCATTTTTTAGATTTTCTTTTGTGTGATTGAGTTTATTTTTGTATGGGAGAAAGTAAGCCAATCCGTTCACAAAAAAATCGCATTTGTGAAAATTTCAAACTTGCATATTATTATACTAAAAATCAGTGGGCTACAGAATCGCACACTCAAAACATTTTTAAAAATCGTATCAAAAAGCTGGAAAAGTGCATGAAAATTAAATTAAATTTTATCGAATTTTCCTGTTATTTGTACAAAGTTTGGAACTTTGGTTTTTACGATTTTTGTTATACATACTATAAACCAAATTTTAATAAAAAAAATTGCATACATATGTATATACGAATAAAAATTAATATGAGTAAAATAAAATGCATATATACAACTAATATGATATATACATACATTTGTATATGTGTATAAAAAACAATAAAACAAATTAGCAAAGATTACCATCGCATCGGAGTGTGGTTTGTTTCCCAAAAGATTCTCCAAAGTATTTAACTTTTCCTGGGATGATAGTGGAAGCATACTTTGAAGCAAAGTATGCTCTTTACTAATAGCATCTCCAGTGATTCGGGAAATACTTTGGTGAACTTTCGAGGTCACCACTTTGCACTCTCGCAGTAGCTGCCCTTGAGCTTGAACTTCCGCGCGTTCGGGCATCTGAAAAAAAAATAAATTATTAAACAATAATTTTAGCATTCATAAATATGTACATTGATATAACCTTTTCGGCCAGAGCATTTGCTATTCCGTCCACCTTTGACTCAACTCTTCCAATGGCGGCCATGACGCCATCAAACATTTCTTTTTGCCTCTCCAGCAGGTGAGACAAGATAAATTGTTGACCTGTGTTGCTTGTTGTTGTTGTAGTGGCTACACTCGTGTTGGTGGTTACTGTTGGCTGGGAGACAAAGCGCTCCTCGTAAGGCAGTGCCACATGAAAGCGCTTTCTATGTAGGGCTACATCTGAAAGCGCAGGAATGTTTGATTAAAAACTATTAAACATATTGTAAATGTATATGTATGTATATTTTCGAAATACCTGTGTTGCTCGTGCGTGGTGGAGAGAGCGCTTCGGTATCTCCCAGGAACAGTGGTGACAAATCCATTGCTTCAAGAGAAGGAAAAAAAATGATTATGCAGAATCGGAACTAAAATAAACTTATTCGTATCAGGAATCCAAAAATAAAAATTCTACCTTCATGTTAAACTGTTACTACTGCGAATTATGACAACTACCAGTGGTTGAGTTCACTACTTCATAGCAGCAGTGGCACGGAAACGTGGATCTGCTATTGCAACTTCTCTACTTGAATAGATGAGAAGCAGTGTCAGAATCGGGAAACACAAGAAGGCCTTTCTTGTTTTAATTAGTGCTATGTTTCGTTGAGGCTATCATAATATTGTTGTATGTGCTATTACTCTGACTACAAATATCACTTCGTTCATATTTTAGTTCTCCTACCTGATCTGTGCCTCAACGAAACATAGAACCAAGTAAAACAAGAAAGGTCCTCGTGTGTTTTCCGATTCTGGCCGTGCTTCTTATCCATTCAAGTAGAGAAGTAGCAATAGCAGAGCAATGTTTCCATTTCCTCTGCTGCTATGAAGTAGCAAACCCAATCACAGTTGTTGAACTGTGCACTACACTTTGTAAACTATGGCTTCCAGAATGACCGCATTCACCAGTCCTAAATTTGAAAATATATGCACATAAAAAGGTATCGCATAATCGTAAGAAAGACTGTTTTCCAAAACATATCAGTTTTTAAGCGCACAACCATGAAATTCCTATTTACAACTTGTTGAACTGACTCGTTTTGGAAAACAGCCAAAGGCTGACCTACTACACTTTTTTACATATGTAGCACTGCACTTTCTTTTGTTGTTTACATTTGCACATAATTAGCCGGTTCCCGTACTTCACGATTTGCAAGATTTGCAGGTTTTACCGGAACAGCTGTTTTTGCCTTTAATAAGCCTTATGTGTACGGGAACGACTTTGGACTAAATCCTGCAAATCGTAGACGTTCTGGAACGCACTAAATAAGCCTGTTCCAGGTACTTCACGCTTCGCAGGTTTTTATAGGAAGCTGTTTCTGTACGCCATAAGGTTTATTAATTGCAAAAACAGCTTTTCTTTTGAAATGTGCAAATCGGGAAGCACCAGGAACATGATTAATGTAGGCAGTTGCAGCAGAAGCAACGTTTATTCGTCGCATGAAAACTTACCGAATAATGTATGCAGCGCTGTTTATTGGTGGCGGCGTTGAAGGTGGTGGATATGCTGGTGTGGTGCCTGACTGGAGGTGGCGTTGATGTTCCGTGGTAGCAGGGTCGAAGATAAATTTAGAATGAAAAATCGCAAATCTGTAAATGCAAAATTATCAATTAAAATATACAAATGTTTGAATAATTCTAATACATACCTTAATTATATGATTAAATCGCAGTGTTTCGGCAATCTAAAAGAAAAAAATTCCATTATAAACAATGCAAATTGTTAAAACGTTCTCTTACCTTCAAATGTTTTTGCAAAATTAACGCTTTTATTTACAGCCTACTGTGATCAAAGATGTCAAACTTTTGCTAAAGTCACAGCCTCTGTGATCAAAGCTGTCAAATTTTGCTTCATTTCCACTTACTCGCTCTAACGCATAAAATTCATACTACAGTAAAAATTTTTATTAGGTCCGGTGCTCTCACTCAGAATTTTGTTTTGACAGTCGGAAAAATAAATTTGTAAATGTGTGGGTAGCATAGATAAAAAGTTGCGAGTGTGTGTGTAAATCTGTTGAATTTCAGGGGCAACTGGTTAGCTGTGGCTTGCAGGGCGGTTAAAAATAGAAACAAAGATAAATATAAAGAAAAAGATGAGGATGAGGATGTCGATAAAAGTAAAGTGAAGATAGAGGAAGAAAGATTAAAATAAAGGTAATTATAGAGAAAAGGACACACATAGATAGAGCTACAGAGACTTTATCTGGGAACTATTTTGGGATTTTGGAGACTTTCGGGATTTTCGGGACTTATCGATATAATAATCGATGTTTTTATCGGGTTTGTTATCGATTTTGTTATCGATGTTTTTACCGATTTTCTAACCCATTTTTGTTATCGATTATTTATCGATTTAGTTATCGATCATTTATCGATTTTGTTGTCGAGGATTTATCGATCATTTATCGATTTTGTTATCGATTATTTGTCGATTTTCTTATCGATTATTTATCAATGTTTCTATCTATTATTTATCGATTTTGTTATCGATATTTTTGTCGATTTTGTTATCGATATCTTTGTCGATATTTTATCGCTTTTGGTTATAGATTTTACTATAGGTTATTTATAGACTTTGCTATCGATATTTTTATCGATTTTTTAATCGGTTTTGCTACTAATATTATTATCGATTTTGCTATAGAAATTTTTATCGAATTTGTCGTCGATTTTGTTATCGATATTTTTATCAGTTTTGTTATTATTTTTATGTTCTGCACTATTCACAGTGCAGTATTCTTTTATTACGGAAAACACGCCGCCCTTCCATCCTCAGTTCGTTATATCAATCCAGATCGTAGCGAAGCCCAGTAGGAAGCATCTTTTTTCTGTGTAGTGTCCTGACATTCCTTCTCGTATCAGTGGACATTTCGTGCTCCTTAAAATCTAATTAATTCTTCAGCGGGTAGCATACGTCCAATGCTCGCATATTTCAGTATGATGGGTATCCGTTGTGATGCAGATTTTCGACAATTAGCTTTCCTTGCATTTCTGGGCGCACTTTTTTGCATCACAGAGGCAATTTTTGGTCCTCGGAGTGTACGTATGTATGTCTAAACACTTCCGTACTTGACATCGTTTTTTAATCCGACGACATAGCACTGCATACTACCATAATTCGGGCCCCAGCGAAGTCTATCAACCTCAGCCCGTTATCGGAGCTTTCGTCGAGAAGGCTGAATTTTCCGAATCTTCCTAGCCCATTCGGGAATTGTAAACGCAAAGTACCGTCTTTTGCCGCCTCGTTCTTCTCTTCTATCATGCGTAGTCGCAAATAAACTTGATATTTAAGAATCTCGATTTGATACGCGCTATGAAGAGAAACTACTGCCTGTGGTCCATGGCGCGGAGTATTGCAAATACCTCGGCTTGAAATACGCCGACATGTTCCCCAAGAGGGGTGTGAAGTTTGAACTAGTTAACTTCGTCCAGATCCTGATCCTGCATCAGTTTTGAGGTTATTGCTAAAGATTCTACAATACGTTAGCCCGGGATCAGTATTGACCAGCACTCGGATACAGGGAACTCAATATTGTAGTATCTCTTCCGCAAAGTCAACGGTGGCATACTACTACACCGTTGCATTCAAACGATATTAAAGTCTATCTGCTCTGCCTTCATCAATTTTGGGCATTCGTTTTGAGATAGCAAAAAATGCGGTGCCGTAGCATAGGAATTTAGTCCCGAATATAAAGAACTGAACGAATCGCAGGCGCAATGAAGATATTCACGACAGCTAACGGCACTGATTTGGACACGATCGTTGCAAAGTGTTTGCTCGCAGAAATAGTTAGTAGAGCTTGTGACCCAGGAGTCCAGTCCCGCTGCAAAAAGCATAGTTTTCTAAGTAAACACATATTTACTGTCACCGAGATATAACGCCAATTAAATGAAGAATCAGTGCAAGAGGGAAAGATGCGCTGCAGAATCAGTACTATGGTAGGCGGTCTGGAAATGACTCGACTAAAGTGGATTGCGTGTACCATACGCACGGAGGTGGTTGGTCACACTTTACGGACTGAATAAGGTACGTAGCGAACATTTATCTCCGTTCTTACCACCAACCGACGGAATTATTTTCTTTAGTACCGAAAGGAGAACAGTGCATGACTATAAGGGGTTTAGGAATTTAAAGCCCACCATGACTGATAAGGCCTTTGGCGTTAGGCTTCTAGTGGTTCTTCATACCATAAAAAATCATATACATAACAGCTTTAAGACAACGAAAAATATACAAACTACAAGAAAGAAACGAATAAGACTTAGCTGCGCTCGGATGAGCAACGCTGATGACGCCAAAAACGGGGAGACTACATGGCTATATTAAGTAAATATGTGTATACTCGTATGTACGTATACCCAGTAGGAAATTGGGGAATTATATTTTTCAAACAAGAAAAGAATAACAACTAAGATTGAACGAAAAAACACATGACAATGTAAGCGAGCAGGTAATAGGTAGTCTTGAAGCCACAAGAAAAACGAAAAGTTTGAGAAAAAGTTAAATTATGTATTTTTTCCACGTGATCTAAACAGCTGATTTAGACGAATTGTGGCGTGTTCGACTACCAACTTTTTGGTCCGGGTTCAAAATTCCTGTGGCACGAAAGCTTTCCTCTTTTGGTTTTTTAACCAACTTCCAAAAAAGGAGGAGGTTATCAGTTCGTCGGAATATTTTTTTTTTATGTATGTTACCGCATGTCAACCGATTTCGACAATTATTTTTGTTTAGGAAAGGTGGTGTCTCATAGGTGGTCCCTCTGGTTTCGGTCGGATCATTGGATCACTAAATATATATATATTTTTTTATTGTTGGTTGTACTAGGCTATAATGATCAAATAGGCTCATGTGCAAGAAAATACTTTCTTCACTTTGCTGCCCAACGTTTCGCCAACCTCCTTGGCATCTTCTGGGGCGTTTTCTTTATTAAATATCAACAAGAAACAAATATAAGGAGGTTACTATTATAATATAATTTGTTGATATGTACACAAAACAATTGTACACACAAAAACAAGGAACAAATTTTGTATTTATTTATTTATTTATTTATTTATCATCAGTGAATACATATTTTCATACTGACTACTAAGAAACTATCTAACTAATAATTATTATTAAGGTAGCTTAAGAGGATATTATTTAATATCCCTCCAGAAAGTGAGAGGTCAATATCAATAACTCGATTGATTTGATTAAGCTCACTAAGAGCTCGACTGATAGGAGCATTTATGGCATAATTAGATTTAACTCTATACAAATAGAATATGTCGAAGTGACGCAAGTTCCTAGTAGGGATATTGAGAGGTATCCTACTTAGAATATCAGGACAGTCCATATCTCCAGTTATGATTTTTATTATGAAGGAACAAGAGAGATATTTTCTTCTATTATCAAGTGATTCTAATCTTAAGAGTAGACATCGCGAGGTATAAGAAGGCAAAGGTTGTGTGAAATTTAAAGATCGCAGTGCAAATTTAATAAAAATCTTTTGAATACGCTCGATTCTATTTATATATGATACCTGGGCAGGCCGCCAGAGCAGCATATTTTAAACGGGACCTAACAAAGGCAATAAACAATTTCTTATGTGTATACGGATCCAAGAAATCAGAGCTGTTTCGACGAACGAATGCTAACATAGAGTAAGAATTTGCCACTATAAAATTTATGTGGCTTGCAAACGTGAGTTTTGAGTCAAAATATACTCCTAAATCTTTAACCGTGTTCACCGTCTTCAGTTGAGAACCCGCAATAGAATAAGTAGTATTTACAGTAACAAGCTTTCTGGAAAAAATGCAATGAGAACATTTATCAATATTAAGAAAAAGTCGATTCTTCACGCACCAGGCGTGAACCCTGTCGAGATCGGACTGTAGTGCGAAAGAATCCTCCCTTCTTGCTACGACAGAATAAACCTTCAGGTCATCCGCGTACAGGAGAAATTTTGCATGTAGGAAGCATAAACTAATATCATTTATAAAAATAATAAATAACAACGGTCCAAGGATACTTCCCTGGGGAACACCTGAACTGGCATGAAAAGATCGGGAGGACGTGTCGTCAAGTACCACCGAACAGTACCTATCACTTAAATATGATTTAATCCAAGATAGAAATTTAGAGTGAAACCCTAAACAGGCTAGCTTGTCCAGCAAAATTGTATGAGAAACTCTGTCAAACGCTTTTGAAAAATCCGTGTATACCGTATCAATTTGCAACCCAGCCGAAAAGCTTTCCAGACAGTCCTCCGTAAAAATCGCTAGATTTGAAACGGTGGATCTCCCTTTAATAAAACCATGCTGATTCGGAGATATGATATTTCGAACTGAAAAGACCATTTTGTCCTTCATAATGGCTTCAAATAAACTTGGCAACCGTTGACAATTTAGCAATAGGTCTATAATTCTTAACGTCATTTTTATTTCCGCTTTTAAAAATTGGAGTAATATTTCTTCTTCTTCCATTCACTAATAAAAGTAATCAGGGACAATTAGCAATTTTAACCTCATACTGAACTTTAAACACTTTTGTGAAAACATTGAAAAACTTACATTTGAAAAATAAACTACTAAACTACACTTAACATTTAAACTTTAAAACTTTTGAGCAGCGTTCATACCATCACCCTGTGGTACATTTGTCAAACTAATACTAACAAGTAAGAAAGTCTAAGTTAAATACCCGGCGCAAGTATTAAATATATGTATTTTCACCCTTCCGCTAGATGGTAAGCCGAGGTGTATCAATTTTGAGTAAATTAGCGTCCTTCAATTTCGAAATATTGAAGTTTCAAGCATTTCTGAAATTTACCGTTATATGAGAATCGGCCGTTATTTTAGTCCGATTTCAATAATTTTCAACGTTTTGCTTACACGTGGCAAGTACAATAACCATACCGAGTTTGGTACAAATTGGTAGAACGGTTACCGATATACTTATATGTGATCATAAGTGGGCGGTGCCACGCCCATTTTCCAAAATTTTACCATAAGCGTATTTCTTGGTAAAG